ATCTCTTTGTTTTAAAAAATGATCCCTGCAACTACAACAACAAAAAGCCATTATGATGATCTGTAAAGGCCTTGCAAGCTTTTACAGGAGAGATTTTTTGCTCATCCAGTCTGGCTTCACTCCCATTCCTTCTCCCTATTCCCAACCCACATGGTTTAAGCTTTCTAGGGCAGTTTAAGCTCCTAGATACAGCTGAGCTGAATGAACATGGCCTGGAGGACATGTCAGAGGTCAGACCTGGGGGGAGAAGTATCTCTGGATACTGTGCCTAAAACTAAGTTCTTTAGATCTTGCTCTGGTCCCAAGTGTATAATCAATTTTATATCTATACTCACTGTTTACAAAGGTTTCTTGTTTATTATGAAATATTTGCTTCAAGGCTCTGCATCTGTTGTTAAGCCCAATAGCATTGTCTATTTCTTATGCCAAGGAAAAAGATGTCACCATAACTTTTTGGTACTATGGTGCAGATCTATCAGGTGGCTGATGTTGGACCTCTGGTAAGCCACGGTGAGCTGCTTGCTGAATCTGTCCTGGACCAGTGGACAGATTAGGGGTGAGTTTAGACTTGAAAATTTCTGAGTTTAAGGAAAAAATCCCCTCCTTTATCTGGCATGTAATAGATCTCTGTTTCTGGGGCTGGTGGGGAGAAATTTAAAAAATGCATTTGAGCAGCATATGGAGACACCCGTATATGCACACACACATTAGAGTTTGCACTGCTGAGTGAGGTAAAAAGTGTGATGATATGAAGTCTCTTTGTGACCATCCCAAGACAGAGTTTAAGCCCTTGGCATGGTGTCACAATCTCTGGAACAGGAGGCTTGGATTTCCTTTGATTTCTGCAGAACCCTCCTAGCTTAAATACACTTATGTAGGCTAATGCGCATGCCCATTAGCTTTCCCACTGTCAGCTGCTGTTAGTGTAGCTGCTTAGCACCCTGCTGGGAGGGAGATGGATGGACTCCTCCAGATGCCGTCCTGCTGCTTCTTCTTTTAGATCAGTCCCAGGGGATGCAGACCCCCTGTGGCTCTCCTTGAGCTGTGAGTGGCCAAGTGAAGCAGACCATACACATGCCCTCTCACATTAAGTTTCTTATTTAGCCCCACTCTATTCTTTGGTATATTAAGTGGAAATAACTTTTTTTTCAAAGTGGATAAGCATAACTGCTTCCCAGGTGGAGAAAAAAGAGCCACTGAGGGATTCAGAGATATGGGCCGAGCCAGCTGCAGAAATGTGAATTAGATCCCCAGCTGTAAGAGCTGCCAGTCAGCCTTGTACCTAATCCACTATATCATGGCTGAAACCTGGAGTCGGCATGAGGAGGTGCTGGGAGTGGAGGGGGAGACAAAGGAAAAAGAGAGAGGATGATATATGAATGAGAAAAATGAGACATATAAAGGAAAAATTCTCATCTGTCTGCAGAGGCCTTAGGAAATGAATAGATGGTGATAAGAGCAATTTCCTCGCATGCATTTTGTGTCAGGTATTTAGCATGGCTGCATCTCAGCAGTGTGCGCCCCCGTGCAAGACTGTAAGGAGGTGGTCAGCATCCGTATGCTGCATGTAGTAGAAAGCAGGTGGATTTGCTTAGCTCTATGGGTGGCAAAGAATTGGGAGTATTTTTTATCATCCAGGCAGGAGTTACTATTAATATATTTTTCACTGTCTTCCTTTGGATGCATCACAAAATCAGTCTATGCAAGGAGAAGCCAGGGGAGGAAAGGGGAGGGAGAGACATCTAGAGCCAGTGCAGATGGGAGGAATGGCTGAGTGATGGAGAGTGAAAGATGCTAACCAGGCTCAGGCCGCACACGAAGGGCTGGCTGCCATTCCTGACCCTCCCTAACCATAGAGAAAGACAGACCTTGCAGGGCTGTGGCTGGAAGGGAGCACGCTCTTGTCCCTCACATCTGTGTGTGTGTACCGTGAAACTGTGGGGTCAGTGTCATCTTCCAGAAGGAATCCCCTAATGGCAAGGAAGAGAAATAGATTTTGTTTTGCCCATACAGAGTTGATGGGAGTGTTGTTCTCACAACTGAGCTAGACAGTTGGGTAGAAAGTCTTCCAGGTGCTGGACACCTGCTACTGGAGTAGCTCCACCTCCACTGCTTGAGCAACCAGCCTGTCTTGGAAGTACAACCTGTGAGTGGAAACAGGAGAAAGCATATCCAAATCCTTAGCAACTTCTGCTTTCGTGAGGTGTTGCTGCTTTGAACAATTAATTTCTGATCTCTTGTTGACAATTACCCTAAATCAAAATGAATAGTCAGCTGGCTGCAGTGCAGGGGGGTGGGGTACAGCCAAGGGTGTTTTGGCAGTGGATGAAGGAGAGGAAGGGAGAGAACTGCTGCATTCTGATCCAGACCTCATTGCTGCTGCTTAACCTGGGTCTGGAGCAGGGAGAGAGGAGAGCAGCTCTGCCCATCAGTTCCAGGTTCCAGCGTCTCAGTACAGTCCTTCCCTCTACCCAGCTCCTACACAGCCTAGGAGAGGACTTGGCATGGTGTAGGATATCCACCCATGCTGGCCAGAGCAGGCAAGGTGGCTTCTCAAGGTGCTCAGTGGATCTAAACTCCCCCAAGGAGCTGCATCAGGGTGGAGGGTTTGACTGTACTGGTCTGGCCCTGTGGTGGTGCTGGGCTGCTCTGCCTGATTTTCACACACACAGCCTCGGCTGTGCCTCGGGGCTGGCTGGCTTTGGTAGGTGGGTACCACAGGGATGAGAGAAGGCCAGGGGGTCTGCCCCAGGTCTTGTACCTGTGCTGGCTCACAGGGCTCTGTGCTGATGTCTGTCAGAAGCCTACTGTTGTTTAGGTGTGAGGATGACAACCTCACACACCCACAGCTCCTCTGTACTTGCCCAATCACCTCTTCCCCAGGCTGGGGAAAGCAAAGGCTGGACAGATGTGCCTGGACTGACCTGTGGCATCCCAAATCGAGGGCTGTGCTCCCTGGGGAGAAGCTCCATGCGGTCCTATTTAGGCACTTTATATTGCTTCATTGGAGTTGCTAGGGGCTGCATACATCGATCAGTGGAGCACAAGGTGACATGACAACAGCTGCCACATGTCTCTGATTTTCCCTTTCCTCCCTGAAAGAAGTCTGGACAGAAGACTAGGTGTGTTTTGGCCCACAGAAAAGCGTACACAGTTGTGTGTTTGTGTGCCCTTGATGGCACGTCCTTAAAGGAGACACAGTCGAAGCTGTGCCCTCTGTGGGCAGCACGAAAAGGGGCAAACCTGCAGCAGCCTCTCTCTGTAGGCTGAACTCTGGCTTTGAGGCAGCTCTGACCCCATCTCGTTCCCCTGTGCTCTGAAGCCAGTGAGCACAAACACGGGGGTGGGAGGACAGTCCAGCTTTTATTTGCTCTGCATGGTGGATTTTGGTGTTTTCTGAGTTCAGGAATGCTGCCTGCTCCTCCGCCTCCTCTAGTGCAGCTGCACCTCTCGGTCCCAGTCCCAGCTGCCACAGCTTAGCTTTGCCTCCAAACACATTCTTTTGCTGGGTGCAGTGCCTCTGTGCTGTCGGATGGAGATTGGCTTATAGATGTCTCTGCCTGCATGGTATCTGCTTCCCTCCGCCTTTTTAATCCTCTGCATTTTCCATAACCTAACGTAAACAAGTAACAAATCTGGGATTCACTTCTCCAGCCAAGGGGACAGATCTGGGGCTGTGGCATTTTACACCTACTGTGATTCATGCAGCAGTCCCTCTTTCTTTTTCTTTTCTCTTTTTTTTCAATACACTTGTGAGAAACGTATTCTTATGTCAGTAATGTTCAAAGGCGAAAAGAAAAGCTGCCAGAAGAGAGCTTTAAAAGTCTGACATATTATCATTCAGAGAAGAATTTTCAGTACAATTATTCTGGATTTTTTCCAATAAATAAATTGTACAGACTTTTAAGGGAGAGCTTTTAGGTTAATGGAAATATTACTTAAATTAAAATACATCCCATTCAGCCATCAATTCCACTGTCATTGTAGCATGTGTTTAATCTTAATGATGTGCCCAAATAAAAAGGAAGAAACTGATTTGTTTTATTGTATCCAAAGCTGAGTATGATCTGTTGTGGAAAGTTAAATACAAGCCAGAGAGGGTGCAAGGTAGCATCAAGAGAAGTATGGTTAAAATGTACTTGCAGAAGGTATATTGCACAGCACTGTGCATGGGAATGGTAAGAATCATGTTTTGTCTTGTATTTTCAATGAATTGATTTTTACTTTTTTTCTTGGTGACTTTATGAAGAGGCCTTCTACAGCTTACAGGCTCTGTCCCTTTGTTTTTTGGGATCTCAGGGGAAAGTGGATCCTAGATTCCATCTGAGGCAGGTTCCAAGTTCACTCCGGCTCCAAGAAAATGGTGGGCAGCTTGGAGGGGAGCTGCCAAATTCAAATGATGTCTTGAACTCTGGAGTTTCCAGATGAGCTCTCACCAGACTAGGTTTCACGCCACCTGCATTAGGCCCTTCTGCATCCAGCTGAGCTGGACAACATACGAGACAACTCCTTGGGCCTTTTGAACCTGTACTTTCCATTCTGGCAATGGAACAAGGTCAACAGACAGGTAAGTGAGCAAAGAGGAAAAGCTAAATGGCTTCTACCTCTTTTGCCTTTTGATTTATGCTTTATGCTGCACTGGGAGGGGGAAAGGCAGCAGAGGAGGTTTCTACATTTTCTAGTGTGTCCCTTGTCAGCAGGTGACAGGACTCTTGCTTGGGATGGACATGGGCTTGGCTGCTCACCCCACTGTAGGTGCTTTTGTCTTGACCACCCACTGCGGTGCAGGTGTGTGTCCTTGGGTTGGTCACCCAGGTGTCGGGTCTGCTGCCCGAGGGACAGCAGGTGCAGAAGAAGCCTGGGAAGTAGATCAGTTTCCAGCAATCAGCATCCCTTTTGGAAAGGGTGGCTCTCAGTTGCAGGGTCACGGGGAGCAAGGACGGATTAGCTGGCCCAGGCAAGGTCTGTTACATCATAGCCACCAGTGCTGTGTTGCATCCCCACCCTGAGAGTCCTCTGGAGCCTGTCTGCCCTTCTGGAATCCAGGTGCAGATATACCAGGGATTTTCCCTGAATCCTTGCTGGAAAGCAGGTGGGCTGCCCACCCAGGGCACAGAGTACAGCACTTAAAACGCCAGTTATAAACATAGTGCCCACAAAATTCAGGCCTGAGGTCTTTAAATGGGCTTAAGAAGGGTTTCAAGGCAGCATCTACATGGGCCCAACTGTAGTGAAGATAGTGACTCAGTCCAGGCTTGAGTCCAAAGAATGGAGCATTTTATTCAACAGAATAAGCCAGCACAAGGATTGAAAGGTGAGAGGGATCATTGCTCACTGGTGTCTTTCATACTCATGGCAACATCCAATATCCATGTCAGGATACCTGCAGTGACAGCAGTCTAGGTGATAGCTACTTCCCACCTTTCAGATGACAAACTGGCCACTGTTGCTGGGGACACAGGATTGCATCCAGAAACACTTCATCCTGTGGAGAGAAGAGAACAGGTTTTGCTGGTTGCAAGGGCAAGTTCTCCTTGCTGTGTTCATCCTTCATTGAAAGAAAGTCTTAGGCAGGAGAGCCACTTCCAAATGGAAGGCACAACAAGACCAGGCCTTGAATCTGTGAAGATTTTATACGGAGCTTGTTCTCCAAACTCTCCTGACTTCTCAGTCCATCCAGCAACATTTTGGGAAAAGTACTAGATCCGATTTCATGTCCCTATGGGGCCTGGGGAATGTTTGTAGCAAAGGGAGAAATTACTGAATTTGAATCCTGAGGTGGTTTTAAGAGAACAGAACTCCCAAGCAAGTCACCAGTACATCCCTGGGTTTCTAATGCTCACTTCTCAGACTTTGCTACACAAAATGAACAGTGCTTTTCTTGTGAAGACTAAGAATAACTTCCAGGCCAATTTCCAAAGTCAGTCCATTCATCTGACTTTTTCCATCTATATGAATTAACTGTCTTCAGCACAAACTTTAACAGTGCAAATGCATTACTGCTAGAGTGTATTTAGAGGACAGCTTCAGGATCACCGAACACATTGTTACTTGCACAGCGGCAGGAATCCCAGACATTACAATGCAATTGCTATTTGGGCTCAGTTGCCACTGTGGCTTCCCACTCTCTTTTTCCTTTCAAGGTTACCCCTTTGCAACAGAAAAAAATATGTATTTTTTACCAGTAGTGCAGGGTGAATTTTCCTGGGATTCCCTTGAACATTCCTTGCTTATGAGCAATTGAAGAGACATGTGAATCTGACTGTTGCGTGTTGTCATGGCTATTTTTCTATCCTCCTGGGGTAGTGGTAACCTTTCACTTAGGGGCACTGTAGTTTGTGTCAAGTGGATTTTGTTCCTTTTTTTGGTCCTTCTCCACATTCACATGAAATTGTTCTTGCTTTCATCTTTCTAGCCTGCTCCTTCCTCTCAGATCCTCTGTCTTGGTTCAAAAGGTCCTTGTGGCAGCAGGCTAATGCACACCTGGTGCAACCTAGGGACAATTCACTCCCAGGGAAACAATGGGCAGTTTGTGCATTCTCATCATCACCAGGGGCTTCCTGCAATGGAAAATAGCTCAAGGTTTCTAAGGCTCTCATCTCCCACAACAAAATAAACCTGTGGGCAGATGAAAAATCAACACATCTGTTTTGGCCTTAAGACCACTGCCAATATTGTCTTCTTTGGAAAGTGAATTCCTTTGTATTACCCTCTGCTTCCCTGTGCTTGCACTGTCTGCTTTGCAGGACCCTGTCTGATTAGTGCAGTCCCAGGGTTAAATTAGTGCTTTCCCTTTTAGCAAAGTATTTTTTTCATATGACACTGCTTCTTTCGCTGTGGTTGCCATTCATCACACTTACAGTAAAAGACCTCTGTGGTATTGGTACATTCTGACTGTTTCCCATTTGGGAAATGAGCATGGCAATTCTTCTATCTCTCCTGGGGACATTCTGAAGAAGCTGTGCTGAATTATCCTAGCCTCTGGTCTGTATGATTAGTATATGTGATTACTGCCTGTCATCCAGGTAATTTATGTAGACAGTCAATGTAGGATATAAGATGGACCGTCTAAAAATGGGACAACGCATTATTAACAAATGCTTGGTGGTTACTTTGACCTGAGAGCGAGGGCAAATCTTGTGCTTTCCTGGTTTACCACAAACACCCATACTGCCTGCAAGCAGGAAAATGTCTCTTGAGGGATTCTGCAATGGTGGGAGGCATACATGCCATGGGAGAAGAATTTGGATTCCATCAAGTTTATCTATGGAGCAGTCACTTGTAATTATTGCTAATACAATGAGAGGAGTAAATAGTTATGGATTCCTGCATAGATTTATTGGTCTGAGGTGATACCAACTGACAGAGATAAAACAAGGGACAATATTGACCAGAAATGTTTATATTTATGGAAAAACTAGAGTATGCGTTCACATCTATTTTGAATGTTTTTATGAGAGATACCTGAGAAGTCTCCATTATGGGTATATCTTCATAGGGGTAATAAGTTTTTCTCTTAAGCTAATATTCTAAAGGGATAGATTAAATTAAAGGTTAATTTAAAAACTATTTCTTTTCCCTTGGAAGGTGAATAATATTTTTCACTTACACTGATGCAGTCCATCATAATGTTTATATTTGCGTGTGTAATTTGGTTATCTAGTGCTACTTCAAGATCAGTATTACTCATTTCTGATTAGCAAAGAACAATTTGAGCTCTGGCTCTTTACACTAAATTATAAGTTAAACCCATCAAATAAAATCTTTTCCCTGTTAATTTTGACATTACAAATGCCATGGATGTCCTTGGGCTCAGGGTTCTATGCAGTACTCTTATACTTAAACACTCACCTAAGTGTTTGCAGTGTCCTCAATTTACTGGCCATCTATGTGCCAGAGGCTCTTCCTGTGTTTAACAATTACAAGTGACTCCAGTGAAGACCTTAGTGTTCAAAGTTTTGTTGCAAAAATGCTGACCTGCTTCTCATATTCCAAGAGCAAAACTGGCTAAAGGAGAGAAATCTGGGCTATCCACATTTTTTGCATGTGGTTGTTACTCAGAGTCAGTGTTTCCCTGCGCAGTCAGGCAGGGATAGATTTTTATTTGCCCAAGTCTATCTCACAGCAACAGAGAAAAACCTTTTAAACATGGGAAAATCTGTCACAATAAAGCTAGCAAGGGAAACTGTCCAGTCTTTTAGAACTAATATATATGTATACATTTAAGGAATGGCATATTATGTAATGGAGACAAAAATCTATTGAAACATATCAGAATTGTGAGGTGAAACATTGGGTTATGGATGGATGCTGTTTTCTGACTAAAAAAACATCCTTTGTGGTTGACTTTGGTTTATTTTATCTTTTTGTTTTTCACTCTCTCTGTTCAGTGGGGGGTTTTGGGTTCCTTAGACTCTGCAGAGGATCAGTCATTTTTTCCCTGTGGCACTCTCAGCAGAGCATCTTCAACCTTTGTCTATTCACAGATGACTGGGTGCACTGAAGTATTCTTATTCTTTTTATTTCCTAAAATCTTAGTAGTAGAGAGAAAAATAAAAAAAAAAAAAATTAAAAAAAAAAAAAAGGTCAACTAACTGGGCAGGTCCCTGTAGGGAACTCAAAGACCTTGCTTTTGTTAAAATTGCTTGAAGCACCATGATGTCAATATTTTCCACCTGATAAGTTAGCCAGACACAAGAGGTCATGGTTAGTTTTTACTGAAATGATAGAAGTGTTTTCTTGGGGCTTGTTTTGTTTTGTTTTGTGTTTGTTTTAATACAAATCCTGACCAGAGCCAGAACCAAATGACAGTGTTTGCACCCAGCTTTCTGCCAGCACCAACGCAAAATGATAAAATGGCTGTTTTGTTTGTTTATTTGGGTTTTGGTACCCCTATTTTTTTTTTTTTTTTCATTTGTCCTGGGCATAAATTCCCAGTTCTTCTTTCCTTTTTTCTATATTCTCTCCTTACCTGGAGTATTGCTACTCTCCTGCAGACACAAGACCATAACCAGATAAACTCTCCCCTTTGCACCTTCATTTACTTGCCTGCATTTAGGTTGGAAGCAGTCAAGAGCCCTTCACAAGGTCTGTGAGTGTAGGACACAACTGCATCTAAACAGAAAGAGTCTCTGCACATGAAACAGAGATCATCTTCCCTGTTTCCAATAGCACCTGCCTGCCCTGCAAATTAATCTCTGGGAGCCTGAAGATGGGCACCCAGAAAATGAGGTACAGACAGTGGCAGTGTGTGACACATTTAGATTAGGAGTGATTTTTCACAGCCAGAGTTGGTGCTCATTTCTGAACTCATGGGCAGCAAATACTCATTGACATCAGTGGGAGCACCATGGAGGTTCACCTTGCCCACAGGTACTGTATTAAATGACCTGTAACTCAAAAGGTCTTGGATGAAATTTATTATTCTACACTAACATATCAGTTTACAGTGATGTTTTGCTCAGGACAAGCCCTGAAGGAGTGATAAGATAATGGAAATCAGCAGAGGGAGAAAGAATAAATTAAATCTAGGTGATTCTATTATTGATTTTTTTAGTCTAAGTACCTGTGGATAATTTTGTTCCAATTCCACAGAAAAAATCTCTCTTTGTAAAAGAAATGTCAGATCCCACTGTTTCCAGAACAAACCATGCACTTGGAAGGTTTTATCATAGAAACTATGCTCACTCTTGAGGAAAGAGAAATTTCCTCCTATTTCTTATCATTAATACAGGTCCATAGCTGACCTGCTGGAGTGTCCTAGTAGTCTGTTGATGATGCTAGTCAAGAATATTGCAACTTCTGCTGTCTCCAGGTACGTGCCTGAACTGACATGTTTCTGAAATGGCTTCTTCAAACACAGTTCCATTGCTTTTTCAGTTTGGGAATTAAAATGGAAAGTGCATTCACTCCTTAATATAGAATGAAAAATGGAAATTATATATTAAAATAGTTAAAGTGGTTAAATTAGCAATCAGCAAAAAGTGAGTTTGGTCCAGTTTTTAAAAGCAGCCCCCCAATAACAGGCAAATTACAGGTCATCAGACTCAGATCCACTCTTCATTCTCATTTTGATGAGATTTTGTGGCTCTTTCATTCATTTATGGTAATGCATCAAATTATGCTTCAAGAAAGTTAGAAATGAAGACAAGAGATGCTGCTTGTTTGAAAGTATTTTGCATAATGACTTTAAGTTTGGGCAATGCCAAAGATTGATAATGCAGTCTAGAAGCAAATAAAATGCTGACATCCTCTGCAAGCTTTTCATCTGTAGATAAATATCTTTGCTGCCACTGATATATGCATCTTTGTCCAGCTTTGTCCAGCTGTGTGCTGTAGTACAAAGCCATCATTTTATTCTTTGGACAGCTAAAATTCTGAAATGTATAGGCCAGCAATTTGTTATACTTAGAGGCCTGATAGAGATTTCTAAATGTTATGTGGACATATCAGAGCAAAGAGATAATGTGAGGATCAAAATCAACATGTACAGGAGTACTTACCTTCAGTATTTTCCTTTTTTTTTCCAGCTTGAAACTAGTTAACCCTTCAGACATGTATATTAGTAATACCAGAGATATGCTTTCATAACTGCAAATGGCAACCCTGCAAGGATTGTACTGCACCTTGGCAAATGATGTTTTCTCCAAAACCAGTTGTTTAGAAAAATTATTAATTAATTAACTTGTGCTTCCATGAACAAAGCACACTTCAATTATTTTCCCTTGTCTTTTTGATGTTTTGTTTAGAGGCTTGTTTTTTGTGATATTCATTCTTCTAACTCTATTTAGTAGGTATATTACCATATCCTCTACCTGACAAGTCATCTATAATATACCATTCAGAGAAATGGTGGCTAAAGGAGTCTGGGAAAGAGAGTGTTTCTCTTATTTGCTGGGCCTACTAGTCATGAGGTGTCAGGACAAAAAGGGTGATTTCATTATTTCACTTCCCTGGTTCTTGTCTGCTTATGGTAGTTTGAAAGCACAGGCAGAAGTGTCACTGAGCCAGTGCAAAATCCTGTGGGGCACTAGAACTGAAGCCATCCATCCCCATGTAAAACATGGCCACAAATGCCTTGGATCAGTTTTTCAGGGGAGCAGGGAGCTAACAGCTCAGCAGGAACATGGTCCATAGCAGTCCCACACTCTTCAGGTGTGGTCTGTGAGGCACAAATTCTGTGACACTCCCTCCTCCCCTCCCAAAACAAGAGACCCAGCTAAGTGGATTGGGAGGCTGGTGATCAGCATTCATGGAGGTTGGGTGGCCAACAGGCAAACGCTGCTGGTGAAGAACTGCTGCAGTATCCTGAGGTCAAGCACTGACCTAGAATAAGCTGAAGGTCTTGATGTGCCATGGTAGGAGGCCAAAGCACATGTCAGTGTTTAAAAGCAAGCATTGCTTGTGGTAGCTCATAAATATTATACTTGTAATCTTTCTCCCTCCCAGTAGACCTAGATACTAGGCAGGTTTAACTTCATTTTAAATCTGCTATGTCTATGACTGAAATAATAATATTTATGCAGGGTAGTTTTTCAAGAAGCTTAGTGAATGGGTAAACAAGTTCCTGGGTTTCCTCCTTTCATGGAAGCAAGCTGAAGGTCAAATTTACAACATCTCAAGCTACATTCTGTGCTCATTTACACAGCTGTAATATTAAGTTATGCCACTGAGGACAAGCAATTGCTCCAGACTTACAGGATATAACTGACAGCAGAATTTAGCTTGGGGTTGCCAAAGCTTGACAGAAAAGGAGCTGCAAGGGTGGAATTTGGTGCTCGTGAAGTAGCTTGTATATATTCAAGGAATGTATGAGCCCAAAGATTTATTAGTAGTGTTTCAGAGCATTATTGAAATTAGACCTAATTATCTGTGTAATTTGCTGGAACCAGCATTTTAGCATTTTTGATCAAGTATATGCCATTAATTTAAAAAGAGATGTACCAGGCTGCTCTCAAAAAAAAAAAAAAAAAAAAAAAAAAAAAAAAATTAAGATAAAGCCCATCATTTTTAAATACTGCGTTTCAAAATTTTCCAAGGTTTTTGTCCCCTTTGTAAAACAGTCCATTTGCAGTCTAATCATATGGAAAAAAGTTCACGTCACCCCCTAAGATTATTCCAGCAAGCAGAGAAAAGAATTATCTGCTTGTTCCCAGACTAGGTCTGCCATCCCTCTCCCTCTTCTCCTTGCTCCAGCCCCATTATACCACTTGGAAATGGTGCTGGCTGTCTTTGGATGAAGTAGCAGAAGACAAAGCTGTGAGCAATAGCCAGCCTGCTCCTTTGCAATGAAGAAAGTGCAAAGCTCCTGTTCAGACCTGTACCATGTTCTCTCTGTTCAGGCATGATCCACAGGTGCTGCTTGGTTTGAGGGTGTAATCTCCAAGCCTAAGCCTCTGTTTCTGCAGTGGCTTCTTGCCAGTCTTCTGGTGCCGTGGTCACCTGAGCTCCCAGCAAAGAGGAAAGTTCTTGTGATGAAAGAAACCAGTCATGCAAAGGTGCAGTGCACCTTGCTTTTCTGCTGGTTTCTGTGGAAACTTTGGAGAAGCTTCCTTTGCTAGTCTCTTTGTCATGCATTTAATAGCAACAATGATGCTTACCTCTTTCTGAAAATGTGCTTTGAGGATACAACCATTGCTGTGTACGAATAGCTTGAAGCTTACATGAGCGCTAAAGCTGAATACAAGAGGAAAGACAATACAGCCAGGTTATTGGCCATCATTTTTTGCCAAACTTCTGCTCAAAGAAGTCTTTGGTTTGGGACAGATGCTGTGTGGTTCTTTCTAGTCAGCGCTTCTCTAGTTCAGATTTTCACTTCCTTTTTTTCTTTTCTTTTTATACCTTCTTAACCCCTGCCTCCATGTAGGTCTCCAGCAGCATAAACATGGTCAGCACGTCATTTTGGGAAGCAAGCAGTAAACGTGAATGGGGGGATGCTTTTATTGAAATGTTCTCCACACTGGCTCAAACGGTGGAGAAGCGTCAGTTCAGACCTTCCCAGTAAATGATTAACTTTTGTTTGCACAGAGGGGAGAGCCACAGTAAGAATGCAATTAATTACACTGGCAGCCCAGCCAGGCCAGCAGTCAGCAGTGCTCTCGCTTGCAGCTCCTGGCTCTGCAGGTCTGATGTGAGAGTAACTAATTAAATTGCAGGTGCAGGCTAGCAGACTTGTTGAATTAATGCAGTGTCTTCTTTTCGGTGTTCTCAGGCATTTGTAGCTCACAAAAATAGAGCAGGCATTTGGTGCTACAAATAATAATAGAGTGCTGATGACGGAGGTAATTAATCCTTTATTACTGGATGTGATAGGCCGCTGCTGGGGCTGTCATTCTAGTACTTCTTATGCAAAAACATGTCTGAGAGGTGAAAGAACATGGAGTAGGAGAAACACAGAGGAGAGTTCTAATGGACTTGCTTGTGTTATGGGCACAGATACATCTTCATGGTTTGGGCAAAATTGTCAAAACCTGGTAGTCAAAACTCAAGACCAGAAATTCACTGTACTATATTCTGGGTTCTACCTTTGACTCACCAGGGCACTTTTAGCAGGCAGCAGTTTAAAATAAAAATTCAATCTCATTCAAATGCTACACAGCCATGAAAGAGAAATGCAAGGCCATAACTGTAGCTCACTGTGGCCTTTCTTTTTTATTGCTTCCTGAAGATCCTCAGCCAGCCATCGTCATTAGCAGGCTGCTGACTCCAGTGAGCCCTAAGTTTAACCCCAGTATTGTTCTTTGTGATGGTGCAGGGGGTGATTGTCTTGCTTTAAGGGAGACTAGCTTTGAGTGGAGGTAATGCAGATGTCCAAGGAGCTGCAAAAAGAGCAAATACTGTTTAGGGTTATTTATTTCCAATAACAAATGCTGTTCCCCTTACTGGTTCAAATCAAGTTGCAGGACACAAGTATCTTTTCCAGCTAAAATGAAGGGTAAACTGTGAAAATGTTATCAGCCTTCTTTATCTGTTGTCTTTTATTTGTTTGTAATACCCCTTCTTCCCAGACACAGGAATTTTGGGATTTTATGGGATGTCAAGAAGGAAACAACCTTCTGTGGTAGTTGCCCTAAGGAGTGCCAAATATTAAGATACTTCAGCCTCAACACAAGGAAAAACCCCCAAATACAATGTATGTGTTTATTTGAAGACAAGGAGTGATTTCATGTTCTTCTTGTTACTTCATGATGAAAATAGTCCAGCGCTATTAGGAATGTTTATAGTGGGAAAATAATGCCAAGTCTAATAAATGATCAGATAGGACAGACCATGTTTTATTCAGTGTGGGAACCAAACACTGCCATATTGTACAGATTTGCTGATCTGAAAGAATCATTCTTGCCTTACAGAATGCAGCTCAAAAGCCGAGTGCATGAATATGACAGTTTTCTCTTTTTTTAATGCAGAGAATTTTAAGACAGAAGCATTGCTTGGAGAGTTTTCTAAGGGATTGTGATCAACTTACATAAGTTAAGGAAATCAGCAATAATTTGTTATCCTTCCATATTTTCCAGTGGCTTTTGTTTTTCTTGCATCACAATTCTTATCCCATTAGATACAAATAGTATTCAAATATTTGGATGAGAACTAGTATTGTGCTACAAATTTTAATGCTAATTCCGTGGTAGGTAAATAGCTGAGAGCAGTTCTTAGAGCAAGGATAGTTTCTGATTCTTTTCTTCCTCTTTGCTTGTTACTTGCGGCCCTGTGGGAAATTTACATGGTGGAGTGTTTGCCCTCACAGGACACATAAAAGGTTTGTAAAAACACTTTTCTATGACCATGTGTATTTTTCAACAGCATGAAACATTGCTGATCTTCTCCTGGCTGTGGGTCCTGATGGGAGAGAGCTGAGGAGGGTGAGGCCCTAAATTACTGCTCACAGAAAATTGGAGAGAGTGTGTGTGTGTGCATAACCAACCATGTGCTGTGCCTGCAACAAGCATGATTTTTTGTTTTCTGAACTCCATGCTCTGAAATTTCCAGGAAGCTACTCTTTGCTGCTGACAGTTGCTATAGGGGTGATGGCAGCAGTGAGGTGGTTTTTGTTCATGTCTTCTTGTCTTCATCAATTTCCAGTGTGTCATTTCAGCTGAAAATATGAAATTGCTCTTAATGTATTCAAAAGGATCATGTTGGCTAGGTGGTTATTTATGTCACAGTAAGTATTTGATGAGGATGTGTGTTATTTTTAGCCACAATCACAACATATTAATGAAATTTATAGGCCTGAAATAGGCATCTAACATATGATCGTTTGTTGCCTTTACAGTTTCCTGAGGGTTTTTCCAGTTTTCCTTTACAATTTGAACTGACAAGGTGGCGATTCACAGTGTTGGTATAGATTGTTGCACACAAGCTGCATAGTGGGGGCAAACATCAAGCCTCAAATGGCAGGACCCATGCTGATGGGGGATGCTGCAGCCACTGAAGCAATAAACCCAGAAAGGCTGTGCAAATATGTGAATGAACAAATGGATCTCAAAGCTGTGATTTTCATATTCCAGCAATCACTGCCGTAGGAGTGCATGACTGACAGCACAAAGGACTTAGATTTACTGTAGAGAGATGTAAATTGATAAGCCAGTAGACAGCCATCATTCTTCCTTTATTCTCTCTCTGTATCCCATGTCTTTCTCTGCTGGCATAATCAAAGCTGACACAGTGCATTCTATATCAAGTTATATTTTTCGTAATTATAAGACAGCACATGAGATCTGAAGTTGTTATTCAGGAAATGGCACAAAGCTCACTGAAATACAGGTTTTCAGATTGATCCTCTGATAATATTGTTTTTCACATAGATTCTGGATACTCAGACTCTACATCTATGTCTTTGAGCTGTCTGGGTGCTTTAAGAAGGGATAAGTACAGAAGAAAAAAAAAATGAGAGAGAGCTTTTCCTTTTGTGCAGATTAAAAAATATACAAAGCATGAGATACTGGCTTTCTTTCTCCTTACCAGCAGCTGAATCTGAAGCATTTTGCCACACCATTTCTAAAGAAGTTAGTAGGGAGCTGACTTTGGGGGGAAGAGTTACAAGAATTCAAGAAACAAAAATAGAGGGATCACCCATAAAGACCTAGATGATCAATCAGCCTTCCCCTCAGCTGACTGACTGGTGTGGCACACCTCTCATGTCTTGAGGCCAAAGGGTCTTTTTCCACTGATTCATCTCATTAGGCTCAGCTGCCTCTGACTTGAATTGCAATGTTTTTTAGATCCGAAAAGAACAGACTATGAGATATAATGGAGTTGTTATAATACAGATGCATTTGGAGATCTCATTTTTCCTCAGCTCTGAAAAAGTGTGGTAAAATCTGAATGCTAATATTGCAGCCCTTTGACCTCAAACGTGCAAGGTTGAAAATTCAGATCCCATCTGGACCCAGTGAATGTGTGACTTGAAAGAAGGCAAATGAATGAAGCCTTCCATGCTCTGGAGCTCCAGCAGAGAGGTTCTGCAGATCACCTGGGAAAATCCCAGTTCTGTGAGTAATCTTCCATATGGTTTCATTTTTAAATTTGCTGGTATTTTAATTGAATTAATGAAAATAGTAAGGAGAAAGAAAAATTAATTTTTATTTTTACTTAAAACAGATTGACACTAGTAGGAAAAAAGGGATTATCTCACTTGATAAAGTAGAGATTATTACTTTTCATTGAAAAACTGTTTTCTCTTTCCATGTCAGACTTTTTTTGCACTTCCAGAAATAAACTGAGAAGGCTATAGCTATACTTCATGGATGTTTATGTGCAGGCCTTGTCTGCTTACTGGGCTCCAGACTCATGATATCTCTAAGTCTTGCTTTGCCTCACTGACCTACGTGCACAATGACCGTAAGGCAGAAAGTAAGGTCTTTCTCTCCCTTTCATCTTTAATACAGGGAACTTTTTAATCCCAGTAGCTCCTCTGCTTAAATATAATTAACAGTTAGTTTTAAACAGGCAGATTTTATTTTTTTCTTTAAGCAATTAACTCAGCTACCAGAATTGAGAGCCTTTTAATGTTAAATTGCTTCTGTAGCTGATGGAAAAAGAAAGATGCTTCTGATGGGAGATGTAGCTCTTAGTTGTCCTTTGGAAGCATCTGGTCCTTGATGCAGATGGTACCTGATTTCAGCATCTTAATTTTAAATGCTTCCAATTAAGCAGGATAGACCCTGAGCTCTTCATGCTGCTGGGAGCTTGCTAGGGATATGTGAAGAAAAGCACTGCTGGTCATGCACTCCTGTCAAAAAGCAGTTCCTTGTCTTAAGGCAACTCAGGAAATTAAAAAAGAGGGGAAAAAAGTCCAAATATTTTTGGCTCTAACTAGTGAATAAGACAGCTTATTCTAACTACTAATAACTTAAGTGAGAGTGGTTGTCTGAAGTACTCTTGAAGATGAACCCCAGATTATTCCCATCAGTCTGACTACTGTTTAAACCTTTTGCTTGCATGTATTGATTGATACATTATTGTTCATGTCAGTGAAGGACTTTTCACCAGAAGCCTTTTGGGGAGGCTATAAGGAGTGTGTTGGAAAAGAAATGAAATTTCTCTGTAATTTGTGCAGTGGATACATAGCTCTGTAAGAGCTGCCCAATTGGATGCTTCCAAATGATTTTACATAGGTCAGTGAAAAAATCTTTGGAATAGCTATGCCAAATTGCTACAAGCACAGATTACTTTCAAACATAGAAAGAAAAGTGCAAAATCTTATTACTAATTTCCTAGGCCATCCAATTCACAGGCATCAATGCCAAAAATGTTTTTACTGGACTATTTTCTTAACAGGGTCATTATGTCTCCTTCAAGGTAATTCTTAAAGAAAGGGTTTACGTCTCCTCACTTTCTCATGTCTGTGTCTCTGTCAGGAGAAGGCCTTTGGGAGCATCTTAGGAGTGAATGTGTAAGAAACCAGAATGTGTGTGCTGGATGTTTGTTGCTGCATATTCCTTCAGAACTTGCTTTTGAAATGCATATTGGTTACAAAATAAACCCGAACGAGCCATTATACTCTGGTGTGTAATTATGTATTTAGGACACATACTACACACAGCTTTAAAAGAAATCTGTATGGAAACAAATTGCATTACATTTGCAAATAGCTGAAGGTAGTTGAGCAGCAACACCTCAAGCCTTTCAAAATACTGAAATAATTTACACCATTTTCTAAAGCAATTATTCCCAAGCATCAGATTCCAGTTGTTCCAATGCCTTTGCTGCAGAGGAGCTGCAGAGGTCTCAGTATAGCATAGAAGTCCTGGTCTTGGCTAACAGCTTTGATGCAGATTTAGTGCTCCTGTTGATGTACCATGGCAGAGCAGGACTGCTGGCCTTTGGGAGGGAACGCTACTTGGGCTTAACACCCCACGCTGAGGGTGGAGACGTGCCAAGTAGAGAGGCACCCCTGGGGCAAGGGTGAAACCCAGCTTCCTGTCTCCCCAAAGTTTAGTGAGGAACAGAGATTTAAGTCTTTGTTGAACAGTTCTGTGATTTAGTGGAGTGATGGATTTACTTTTGTGGCCAGCCTCGAGGATGGAGAGCCCTCTGGCTTCTTATTTCAGGGTTTTGAACTGCCACTAGAGCAAGACAGTGCATCTCCCCAGCTCTGACAGTGTTGTACCACTTATTTTTCCTCTTTAACTGGCGCTTGGCAAAGTACCTGCCTCTCAGGAGGCCAATCCTTGGAAATAGCCGTGTGCAACAGAAATGACAGCAGGCACCCGTAAGGAAGCTGTGTGTCTGCCTGGGCTGATGATAAGGAACATCATCAAGCGTGCTTCCCTGCCTTGAAACAGCAGTTCCTGCATTAAATCCACAAAATGCCGTTCTGTGCACAGTGCAGTTGGAAATGTTAAGAGTCATGCTTATTAGCACTGGCACATATAAGGCAGAGCTGCAGTAATGAGTTAAGTGTCCTGAGGATTTGAGGACTGGGGTGTTGCTTTTCCTTTTCTGGAGCTGAGCACTCAAGAGACTTTCATTAAACCTGGGACTTGGCAGATCCTCATGCTGATTCTGCCACTTATTTGTTGTTCGGCCCCAGGCTAGTCACTTAACCTCTTGCCGTCCTAATTTCCCCATCTGGAAAATTATATTTACTTACCTCTCCTGGGGATTGCACGGGGCTTAATGAATGCCTGTAAGGGATTTGAAGATCCTCAGATCTGAGATGATACGGGACTGCAAAAGATTCACTGCATGTGCAAGAAGGAGGGGATGCGTGCCCAAGCAGAGGAGCCTGCCTGCGCTCCTGGCCTGGAACCAAGCCTGAAAATCTAATCAGCAGGGGAGGATCGTACTCTCTGTTTTAGATTAGATCCTCTTCCTTGTGGCCTTTTCAGATTTGCTGGTTGAAGAAGGAGGCAAGTGACTAAATGGGGAGGAGGGCAGCTGAGGTTAACTGCTTTCTCCTGTTGGTCCCCTGGATCTTTTTGTCAGTGCAATAACAGCTGGATCTCCCAGGAAGGTAATGATCTTCCTAGATACTCCATCTTGCTGCAGGCTATTAGAGAAGCCAGGCAGCCCTGTTGCTGCCCATTTCTTTAGCAGGAAAAAATGAACCTCTGACCAAAAAAAAAAAAAAAAATTCCTCCATATAATTAAGCAGCATTAAAATGAGGCCTGTGCCTTTGCTGATGAACTTCAGTCAAAGCAGATGGTCACAATGGTATTAAAAGCTAAAGACTTCAGTCAGGCTTTTAATTGAAAACAATTGGACCCTGCTGGATGGTAATTACCTTGGCTGCTTGCAAATAATATCACAGCACTGCTACCTATGAAGGAAGAATGAAGACTGAGTTAATAAGAACTACTTAATCTGCATACAATAAACAAGGAGCATCCAAAACTATTTTCTCTGGTAGCTTCTTCCCTGCAAGAGGCTTTTAAGTGGTTAGCAGTGTGAAAAGGAACACGGAGTGGCAGAAATTGAAACGTGTAAAATGTTTGCTGGGTTTATAAAGTAACTTGAAGAGCCCATCTTCTCTCATCTCCCTCCCTTTTTTTTAACAGCTGAAATTCCAGATGCATCTGAGAAAAACAGCAAAATATAATAAAGTGGAAAAGCTCTAGATTATCCAGCATTCCTTCTCTTCTGAATGGCAACAGTAATGAGTCTGTGTTTATCTTGTTTTATCCACTTTCTTATTCCTTTGCTTAATTGACTGTAAGGCTGGGGCCTTCTAAACACCCAGAGTGTTTTTCACAATGTTCTTAATTGGATTTTAATGATCATTAACTTAATATGCCTCAGTGTCTAACAAAACAAATGTAGTATGTGGCATATTTTGCCTGACAATTTCCTCATTCCTCTGCCTAGCGCTGGGATCAGACAAGGATTAGGGGGTTAGATCACCTAAAAGAGTCCTGAGTCCTGGTGTGCTATGTATTTGTTGACACACCATGACATTAATACTGCTTTACAGTGTCCTCCCTGCTGTGGAAAAGGTCTTGTATTGCTGTGGATGTGCGGGTGGAAAAAACAGTCCCGGTGTTTTCTCTTTTAAACACAGGTCCTAGACATGTATAGAACAAACCAAATCTTGTCACTTTTCATGTAAACACTATTTTTCATGTGGCAGTTCTCTTGGGCATCACTTTTTGTTCCCCTATGAGCAGGCAAGGTGCCTTGCTACCTCAGTAGACCTCAAAAAGCAGCAGCTACTGCAATTTTGCAAAATTAATGAGTAGCTGTGAACTGTTAGTAAAAGCGATGCAATGATTTTCCATAACATATCATCTTAGAAGAAGTGACTTGAACTGCTTTTTCTTTTCCTATCCAAATATTCGTCTTTTCAAGGCACCAGCCAAAAGTTTGTCTTGTCTTGTCTGGCAGTATGATGAAATTAACTTTTACAGTGTGTTTGCCTGGATTTCATGATTTTATGCCTGGAGTTCAACTTTCATTCACTTAATTAATGCAAAGAGTGAGGTCCTCAACCCATGAAGGTCAGTAGCAGTTTTCATAGTATCTTTGATATGATTTTGCTTATTTATATGTAACCAATATATGCTTAAAGCTTTATTGCTGTAATGCCTTGGAAACTGCTAGCTGACACAGTCACAAGACATAGGTGTATTTCACAGAATCATTAAAACTGATGGTTTTAGTTCCCCTATTGCCATCTAAGTTGAGGAATTCTCAGTTGTGCTTAGGACTTATGTCTTTCCTCTGCTGCTGGGCTGCAGGAGAATGGGTCTGCAGCTGATGGGGTTGATGTCCTGCGCTGTCTCCTGGCTCTTTTATTCAAGCTGGTGGCCGGGTCTGAGCAGAATTTTGCTCACAACCTTTGCAGCCCCTCCTTTATCAAAGAACTTGGGAAAAATTTGAAATTAGGAAAGGCCACCTTTCAAAAATGTCTCATGCTAGTTGCTGTGGGGATTTTATCCATTTTATAGCACCTACTTTTAACTCTAAAGAGTTTTAACTGTACAGAGTACGATTTTACTATAATTACTGCTTGCAGCTTTAAGGGAGCTGGTGTGGACAATACTATTTTAA